GACCTAAGCTAACATTAAAGCAAAATGAAAGATTCTACAAGTTAATAGCGCTTACATCTATTAAAATTTTATGATTTTTTTATACATTTACTATACATTGTAAAACTTATAATAAGAATAAAACAAAAAAACGATTAATTAATTCAAAATTAAGTAAATTTTTAACAAAAAATGTATATAATGCCTTTTGAATCCAAATACACTACAATAAAAGGATTATTTAAAGTAAGGTCTATTATTTAAGGATATTTTACTGTTTCTGTCGAATTTCCAAAGCCACATTATTTATTTAATCGATTTAATATGTTCGTTATAGACAAGTTATTAAACGTGACACCACAAAAATCATAATTATTATTGAAAGGTAAAAACATACATATTTTTAGTCATAATTCTGAATACGCCTCTGTGCAAACACACGCTTTTATAGTATTATAAACATCAAAAATTGTGGACGTCACGTTGCCAATACAGGCGCGTGACCGAAATATCACGTTCTAGAAACAAATATTTCTTTATGTAATATTTCTGTAAGCCAGGTGCATAGATAAAAGCTCATTAGATAAAACCGATTGTCAGACTGTGACCGCGCGACTTTAAGCAAGTTTAATTAAGAATTTTCATTTGTATTCGTCTCTCCAATAAACAAGATTATGCCGCGAGTGAGTATAAGTCAAAAAAAAAATTGTGTTAAAAATATATTTTTTCTAAATCCACATGGATACTAGCTTATTTACGCACAGATTACAAAACAAAAAATATGCTATTGCCTTCAACTGAACGAATTTATTTCATATCCATTCTAGGTAGTGAGAAGCATGCAAAAAAATTAAATCCACCAATCACCGTTCATATTTTAATCAACCGACTGCTATTATTTTTAAAATTTTAAATGAGTAACAATTCTGTCAAACTAATTGCCAGTATATTTTTTAGTTATTGAGATTAAACATACATTAAAATGGATTATTCCTGTGTAGCATCGATAAATAATAGCATTTCTGCTTTTATTTCGGATGTATTATGGTAAATAATTTGTTAATTTAAATAAAACTATACGAAGTCAATTTAATTACGAGCATTAAAGTAACAAAAATAAAAGAATAGGTGGTCCTGTGGTAGCGTTCTTGCCTTCCACACGAGAAGACTCGAGTTCGATTCTCAAATGAAGAAAAATGAAATAAATTTTTTTTTTTTTCTTAATTTTATTTTAAAAATTAATAAGTCATAAATTATTTTAAAATTAGTTATTTGTAAATTTTCGTTAGTAGGTCGTGGAAAAAATATACTGTACAACTCGAGTGGATTTTCCACATCGCACTCAGACGATTGAGCACTCCTCCTACGGTGTCGTGCTCAAATTTCGGCTTCATGCGATATGGCCATCATATACACTCTTGTTACACAAACTACTATTCTGAAAAAATCAACAAATTGTTGTAAACGCAACATCTGCCACTTCTTTTTTTATTGTAAGTGGATACACTAGAAACATAAGGTGCCTTCTTTTATTTATTTTTTTTTTATTTATTTATTTATTTCTACCTTATAACAGATTGTTACAATATTACATTTATAATACATATTTAGGTAGCTTCCTCAATGGTGGAGTTACCTAGGCACTTATGCCTGTTATGTCCATTTCCACATGAAGAAGCTAACTAAGTGAATTAAAAAAAAAATAGTATAATAGATAGAGTATTCAGTGAAAAAGTGGGAGGCACAGTCAGAGAGAAAGATAAGGCAAGGCGAACTAAATTAAAATTTAGTAATTTTGAAGTTAATTTTAATAATTTAAAAAATTTCAAATACTTGAGGATTTGTCAAGATCAAAGTTTTAATTTGTTTTTTAAATGTAGAAATTTTATTTATTTCTTTTAAACGTGAAGGAACCAAATTGAACAGTTTAGGTCCAAAGTAGAAAAAAGATCTTTGGGTTACAGTTTTGTAGAAAAAGTCTATGTTTATATTTAAATTAGTTGCTGGGACACTACTTCTAAAAGTCAACGCTAGATGGCGCCACCTTTTTGTGCAACCCAATCCAAGATAGCAGCTATCGATTACTTAAACGAGTATAAATTAATGTTGAAGAGAAAAATGATGCGCAGTGGTATTGTAAAAAGTAGAGATGAAACGGATATCCGGAAACTATCCGGTATTCGGCATATCCGGCCTAAATTTAATATCCGGCCGGATGTCGGATAGTAGCTTAATATCCGGCCGGATACCGGATATTCAATAATTACGACACAATTCGTGACAATTCCCTGAAATCAACTTTAATACATAAATCTTTTTGTGGTAAATAATAATAATTATTAATAATAACAAAATGGCTTAAAATTTTGACTTGCTTTTATTTAAAGCTGAAAAAGTTACAAAAACACAAAAAGTCACAAAGAACAAAAAAAAATAACTTTCTGAAAACCTAAAACTATCTTTTAATAGTCAAAATTAATAAGTGGTTAATTATGGTGAATAAAGACCAAATTTTCAGAGTTTCCAGACAACAGTCGATTTCGCTTGTTTTCGTACACCAAGCCAGCTTCGGAAAACAGTCTCTTGCTATAAACACTGCTGCAGGGAGCTGAAAGGTACAATTTGGCAAACGTGGTTAAATATGGATAGTGTTTCGAGTTAACTGACCACCAAGTGTACGGGTCGCGGCTGCGATCAATTCGAACTGTCTTCAAATAGTAGTCGATCTCGTTTGCAATTGGGTTTTTTCCTGGTCGCGACATTGACTATTGTTTTCATTTGCTACTTCATCAAAACAATTCCAAAATGTGTCGTGAGATTCGCAAGTTACATTTGAATTAGTTTCTCTGACTCTTTTAATAGGTATTGGAGACTCCGATGAACTACCGCTGTTAGAAGACTCGTCGCAAGTCATTTTTAGGTATTCTAATAAGATCTTCTGTCGCGCTCTTTCGGCTTCAACTGCTCCCAAATAGTTTGTTTTAAATCTGGGGTCTAAAAAAGTTGCAATAAAGTAAGTCGGATCTTCACTCAAGGAGCTAAAGCGAGATTCAAATTCAGCCTTTAAGGAGGCTCTCATTTGAGTTAAGTCAGCTGTTCTTTGCGCAGTCTCATTGTTGTCCAAGTATTTTTTTAATGCAGCTACATTTGGTATAAATTCGGATATGCAGGAAAGGCCAAAACTTGTGATTTTAGTTATTTGTTCGAATGGCTTTAAGAGTTTTACACACTGCTCCATCAAGAACCACTGATGAGTGGTTAAATTAGTGAGTGTGTCATCGTGATCAGCTACATAAAGAGAGATTGCCCGGTTTTGTTCTAACAAGCGTTCTGCCATATAGAAGGTAGAATTCCACCTCGTGTTGATATCCTGCACTAATTGATGCTCTGGTAAACTTAACTCCTTTTGAAACACCAGCAGTTTCTCTTGTGCTAAACCCGAATGATTGAAGTGAGTAACGAGACGTCTACCTCTGGCAATCATGTCCATTACTTCAGCCTGTATCTTTAATGACTGAATCACAACCCTCTGAAGCGAATGAATAAAACATCTGGCAGAATCATACTCCGCCATTCGAACGCCTTTAATCATGTTAGCACCACTGTCATGAACAAGTACATGTATTTTACTTTGCTCAATATCCCAGCGAGCTGCTATGTTTTCTCCGGTGTGAGATCCTGAAAACGGTTTCATTGCAAGAACTCCGTGTTGAAGCTGGAATTCTGGAGACAACCAATGAGCTGTGAAACTCAGGAAGCTAGAGTTATTATGCAAACACGTCCATATATCAGAAGTAACAGAAACTGCGACTGCGTTTGAAATTCTTGTTTTAATTTTTTCAAAAATGCTGTTGTAGATATCGGGAACAACTTTTTGGGTTATATAGGTGCGGCTTGGCAATTCATAGTGGGGTAAAGCTTGTTGAAGGAGTCTTTTGAATCCAACCCTATGAACTAGAGAAAGCGGCTCTTTATCTAGTGCAATCATTTCTGCAACTAGATAATGATACTTTTTCGCCTTTGTATCGTTGAAGTCCCAATGCATTTTTCTTTCAAACGACTCTGACAAAGTAAGCTGCTTTTTTGTGGATGTCGAAGACGAACTTGTACTAGGGACAGCAGGCTCCACAAGCGGCGTAGGTACATCTTTGTCTTCCCCTCTTTTCGTCAATAGAAACTTCTCTGGATGTTTTGATTTTAGATGATTACTCATAGCAGAAGTACCTGAAGGAAGATTAAAAAACAATCATTACATTTGTGCAGACTGCAGGGTATAAGTAAGAGGTTAAAGTTAAAATTAAATTAGTTAGATAAACGTCATAAATTTAAGCCATTATTTCATGAAGAGTTGGACAGAGCCACCAATAAAACGTAACTTTAACACTGTTAACAAAACCTAACTAATATTTAAATAAAAAAAAAAACATTAATATAAAATAAACAAAAATAAAATATCCTAACCTAATACTAACGTACCTGCTTTTTTCCTTCACTACCACGAAAATTTTTAACCTGGCACAACAAACAAACAGCAAACTTATTATTTTCCTTATCTATTTCAAAATATTGCCAAATAGGCAATCTTTTTTTCACCATTGACATGTTTTAATTGTTTTCAATCACATAGCAAGCAGCGAGCAAACAACTGATTTTCCTTACAATGGCCGCACGATCTTCCTCGGCCCGCTAATCGCATTCGCTGCGCCTGCGCGACGTTAGAATTCTCACATCAAGCGCTAGACGTTGGGCCGGATATTCGGCTATACGGTATCCGTTATCCGGCCAAACAACTATCCGTTGCATCTCTAGTAAAAAGGACCTAAGTTTATATCTGTATTGCTATTAATCCGATTCAAATGTACCAGTTAGAGATGGACAGTAGCAAATTCGTAACTGTTAGGTACATGTACGGATTTGTTACTTCCTATCTCTAAATTCACGAGATACAACGGAACTTTGATTTTCGTTATATCGTTAGATCTTCCACCGAAATAGTATAAAGAAATGAAAAATGTCCATACCTCTTTTTCGCCTTTAATTGACTCTGGTATGAAGAAAAATGTATAGACAAAGGCAAATCCAGCTAATAACGTCACCAAAATGTATACAGTTTTATAATTAGTAGCATACAATAAATACGATGAAATTAGATTTCCTAGAAACGTTGCCAAACCCAAAGTTATTTCGTATACAGCCATTCTAAAAAAAAACAAATATGTATGTTACAAGTCTATTCATCTGCAGTAATGGTGAAATAATGTCAAGATCATAGGTTAGGAAAGTTATAGTTCAATGAAGAGTTACAAATAAAGGTAGGTGATTATTGAGGAGAGGGTAGGACGGTAGGGTCTGAGTGTTTAAGTCTATCTCAAACCCCAGTGGTGGATCCCTCGGATTCCGAGAACCAGGTCTTCTTTTTGTTTGGGCCGCCGGCGCCGCCCGTGGCCCAGTCACACTACTGTTGGAGAATTGGAAATTTCCGCCGTCCTCGTAAGCCGAGAGTACCGACCGAAGTGCTAACCGATAATATTGTTTTGAGCATGAGTGTCCCGAGCCGTCCACCGATGGTACTCACCGAGGGAGAATATAACACAGAATACCGAGAGTGGGATGAAGATCCCGTACATTTATTATTCTGGCGAACCTCCATGCCAGCCCCGGAGATGAAGGAAGAGGAAGGGAACGTTACCACTAGTCGGACTTCGTCCACACCTGATTCCGAACCCCGTCCGTCATTCCCGACATAACTCGTCGTGCGCCCCGATACCTGTTGGCGGTGCGGGGACACTGGCCACCGACGACAGGGCTGCGTCCGCCCCTTTATACTATTTTTTTCCGTTGTGGGCGAGTCGGGATGTTGTCCCGACTTTGTACCTGCCCAGCCAGCGACCACTGATAGTGCCATCACCATATTTTCCGCCCGCCCCTTTGCATTAGTCGTCCGTTTTCCTCTGAGTCGTTAAGTCCTCCCACCGAAGCTGCCCGAAAGATTTGGGATACATCCGATTACCGACCGCATATTCCGTTGGAGTTACGCCAATCTAAATTTCAGTGTTGTGTTTCAGAAACATGGATTCGGATAGCTCTTTTGACTTCATAAGCCTCTCTGATGCCGTCCTTTCCAAGGAGGCCCCTCTTTCCGAAGAGGCCCTCGACCTCAGTGTCAAAACCCGAAGGGTATTAACCCCAGTCATCATTGCCGATTTCGCTATCCTTCTCCCCGAAGTCGCTCGAGAACCGCCCGTAACCAGCGCCATTCGTAAGGAACCGTTTTCTCTGTGGCGAGAAAATCCCTTACAAATTTGGGGTATTAAGGTTATGTAAATACAGACAGTTGTTGCACTGGTCAAAAATTTGTGTATGAAATGGATGATTCTGTGGTTGAACGGTATCATAAGAAAGGATACAATTAGATAAACCTTCATCAGGGCGGAAAGTAAGACACATATTAACAAGAAAATCCATAAGGCAGTGGAAATACTGGCAATTCCTAGATAAGGAAGTATCATAAATTCATATACTGCTAAAGCCCATTCGCATTGCTTTTACTTAGCATCTAAGTGACACTTAAGAAGGCATAACGGTTAGCACCGATATTTATGTTCTACTTAACAAGGGGTTATGAATTACTTTACTAAGCCCAGACATTTTTCAGCTCAAACCTTTACTTAACCTTAAAATGTTTAATTTTTATCATTTTGACATTTTTATTGCCATTAATGTGTCATTGATTATACAAATCAGTCTTTATTATAAGTACTAATACGACTTTGTAAATAATTGCAATATACAGAATGGAAATAAATGGAAGCTGACGGTACTTTGGAAAATACTTGATGTCATTAATATTGGATACCACGAAGAATATAAAATATAGAAGAAATGATTACTTTTACACTGCGATTTAGGTTGGCCAAAGAAACTTCCCAATTTCCTGAATGAAATTGAAGCAAATTAATAGTATCCTTATAATAAATATGTAGGTTTCAAACTCAAATATTTTTATAGACAATACAATTATTATAACCATTTATAAAGAGAGTGTTTTTTCTGCCAATTATTTCTATATAATTAGCATTAAACTATTGGTAGTATTGGCTAATTTTAATTTATACCTCATCCTCATTTTTCAGCGTTGGTATAAGACTGCATGATTTCTGTAATTTTTTTTAAATAGCCCTGAGACCAGAAGAGAGTTCTTCTCTCTTGTGCGCCTGTGACAATCATAGGTAACTGTCAGTCAGTATTCAAAATAAAATTTAAATTGGACATAATTTCTTCTTTTTCTAGAGAAATTAGAGAAATCTTAATGTTGCCAAATTAATCTGACACTTAATTAATTGTTGCTTTTCAATAGGTTGGTGCAAATTAAACTACTATACGTAATACTTAAATAATAAATTTCTCTTTACCTAGAGGAAATTTACTCTGGAGCTGTGCGAATGGTCCTAAGTAACAAGATGAGAGCATCATAATACAATGTTCATAACTAGATCCAACTACGATATAAACAATTTCGTAAACATATTAGAGGTAACCGATATAGAAGGTTACTAACTCACAAAATTGGCGATTTATTTGGGGACTTCCAAAGAAACCTTTCTATGTTTTCGGAACTAAAACCAATTGTTTACTATTAATAATTAGCTTGAACCAATTTATAATGAAGAAATCAAATGGAACTTCAGCCCATTCTGGAGACTAGACTTAAGTAAGAAGGTCCTTACAAGAACAATACTTACCTTATAACTATGGTGTCTGGAGTAGATATATCAGTTAAATAAGCAGAAGTTACTATCATCAATGTAACAGAACTACCAGTCGTAAGCAATGGAATAAAACGTATTACAAATAACCAAGGAGATGCATTTTCAAAGAAAACCATTATCATTGCGGTCATATTGGTTAGGGTTAGACCTAAAATATAAAATATAAATATTAACTCCAATGCACAAAAAGTACAAAACAACAAATAGAGTCTACTGACTATACGGCAAATTAACAAATGATTTAAAACGTACGTGTGAGTTACCTACGAATAGATTTTGATAGTATAATGGCAGTAGTGCTCAATTTGTTGATGGATATTTCTCAGTAATCTGTTCCTGGTAAATAGTGCTTGTCTGCTATCTGAATAGATAAGCATGTTGCTTTCAGTGACATTATTTCTGGTAATCCTCATAAGTTTGGTTTGAAGTATACTGGCAATAATGCTCACAGCTCATTTTTTGTTTAGGTTTAAAGATATGGAGTATATTCCACATCCTGAGCCTTGCTTTGATTTAAAATATTGGAAATACTGCAAGATTTATAACAAGGGCAAGAAGTAAGGTGTTAGATATCCCATTAAGTACACCGAGCATTAAAGATCTAGTAACAAACTAAAGAATATTGAGTAAACCATTTCTATCTTATAAGCTAATTGTGTTTACGTTAGACAGCGACATTCTTGAGACGATCCTTAGAAGGAATCCTAGAAAAACAGACTGCTACAATTAAAGCACCATTCTAAACCTAAGCTTAGCCCATATTCAAATTAAAAAAAAAACCCGGGCACCCACATGGTCTGGAAAGCGATACCAAAGAACTAAATGGGGCAATTCTTGAGGCAGATGAATTAGGCTGCCACATTTAAACAAATAAAACTTAGTAGGGATGTTCCTTGGTGGGACCATCGTCTGTCAAATATATGATCCGAAATACGGAAGCTCTATAATAGGACCAAACACAGCGGAGACTGGCAGAGCTACAACGAATTTACCACCTACAACAAAGAAATCAAGAAAGCTAAACCTGACAGCTTTAAGAATTTCTGCGAGGGGATTAACTCTACACCTGCAACAGCAAGACTGCACAAGGTCCTGGCAAAAGGGAAAGTTGATACAGTTATACCGTTAAAGAAACAAAATGGGGACTAAGAAGAAAAGAGCTCTCCTCTTACTTGAAACCATTTTTCCTAAGGGTATACCTTTTCTAATATAGGACACAACTAAGGTAAGCAAACCCTTAAGAGAGACAGTTATAGTTGCCAAACACATATGCAGTGGCAATCAGTTAAAGTGAGACGGGAACACTTTTGAACCATATAAGTCTCCAGGGTCCGTATTTATAAACAGAACTTACGTGAGTCGGACTTGGGTAAGTCGTCCTTGAACTAAAATCGAAGTTCGGTTACAACGTCTCTAAAGTTCTGGTGTTAAACTGGAATTTTGAGATGGATATTAGCAAATCTGTAACTGTTACGGATTTGTTACTACCCATCTCTAAATTCACGCGATATAAGCGAACTACGATTTTCGTTTAAGGACGACTTACCTAAGTCTGACTCACGTAAGTTCTGTTTATAAATACGGACCCAGGTGTTTTTTTTTTTTGAGGTGAAAATCCATTGCGGATACTATCTCTAGGCAGTAGTGTGGGATTTCCGAGTAATCTACTCACTAAAAACACTTCATTTCTCTAAGTAGGTGTTTCCTGGGCCTGCTTTTTGCATTTCATCAAGAGAAAGGGCAGTGATTGGTGTTCCTTTTAACATATTTTTCTTACCATGCTTATCCTTACCATATTTTTGTTTTTATTATCATTCTCTTTTTTTCTAGTTATCCTGTTCTTTCCTTTTGAATTTTTTAGTGGTAAACATTTGTTCTGCTTTCCATATCACTGTATTCTCTACCATTTTGGGTATGATGTTCTCAGGACTTACTTGTCCAGTTACATCTTCCATCCTTAGTCTCTCTCTGTGTCATCTTCTATATATATAAAAATTGTATGTTCTACTGTGTCTTTCTCTTTTCCACAGTAGATACATATCTGCCTATCAGTTACATGAAATCTCCTTCTGTATGCTTGGAAGCACCCATGACCGGTAAACATTTATGCCGGGCTTCCTATTAATCCATATGTTGACATCGGATATGAACCACGTGCAGTATCCTATTGTATGTGTCTCTTCTTCCGACCATTTCTGCCATCTTTGTAACAATAGAAGACGAATTAGGAGTAGACATACAAAGGCAAATTCGTCTTCTTAATACGATACTAGTAGATTAATTGGTGGTATCCTTGTCAAGGTTAGAACTGCCTTTGTAGAAACCTTTTATTTTTAGAGCAGGTTTTCTTTGGACACTTATTACCTTGTTTCGGTATATCTCTTTATCTAATGATTTTTTCTAGACCGAAGCACCGTACATTATTATAGCTTGCACTACCTAGTACAGTATGTATCTGTGTCTTTTCGAGGTCTTCCTATATTTGACACTATTCTGCTAAGGTTTTCTAAGGCCTTTTTTTGCTTTTTTACTGTTGCTTTTATGTATATTAATATACAGGGTGTTTCAAAAAGATATGTCATAAATTCATCCTCAGATAGATTACCAAAAAATAAGTGGATTTGGCTATATTTACCTATATTAAAAACTGTCTCCCAACAAAGTTACAGAACATTCAGAAAAACGTTTTTTTTATGTAAAAAGTTTGCTGTTGCGATTTTACTTCGAAATTTTTGCCAATGCTGTAGATTTGGAGGCTCAATATTTTAAGAAATAAAAAAAAAAATAAAGCGACCCCTTTAAAAAAAGTTGAAAGGTTGGGTACCTTTTAAGCCCCCCGTATTTTTATTTAACTAGGAAAGAACTGATGTTTAGTGAGTAAAATAGCTTAAACAAGTTGATTAAAAACGATACTGCAAGCTACTTACTTTTAAAAGTTTTTTTGAACAGTTTATTAATTGACTTTCGGTTTTTAAACACAAATATTTTGTTACGTTCTGCATTCTGCATTGATGTAAATAATTTTTTTAAATTTAGGTTAGATGTATAGAGCTCTTTACAAATATTTTAAGAAGGGTAATTACAGAAAGCTAGTTTTAATTTAACTTAAGTAAAGTGATTCATCTCCAGAGCACAGCATACTGTAATATCCTCCAATAGATGGCGTGTCCGCCATTTTCTATCCACAAAATTAATTATGAATAATTTTTTTGTTCCTATTTATATCTAAATGTTGAAATGATTTGGTTTATAAATAAAATGAAACTAATATTTTTGTAAAAGGAATATTTTATTGATTAATTGGGAAAATAATACTCTAATCGAGAAAGGTAACTTAACATGAAAAATAATTTCATATTAACAAGGAATAGCGCCAGAATCCAAGACCCATGAGATAATAAGAGTAATAGCCGGAGCAATAACAGAAATTAATAAAGGTAAATTCGTATAACTAATGATATGGTTGAGTAATAATTATTGAGTAAAAAATTATCAAGTTAAACAAAAAAAAATATATCACACTATAATCATCAATATAAACTAAAATCTGGACTATCAAACTCATATCCATATCAATATAGATCTCTATCCCTATGCTGTGGTTCTTCGAGGATTCCTTCTCACGGTGCCGAGTTAAAAGCATTTTGCACATCTACGGTTATCAGTAGGCATAATTTCCTGCGATGCTTTTGGCTTGCTTCACCCACGATACTCTGTACTTTTTTATTGTATTGATTGTGGACCGCTTCTCCCTAAAACCATGTTGTTCTGGGGCTAAATCACCCTATCTCTCAATTTAAGTCTAATAAGAATTAGTTGTTCTAGCACCTTTGCCAATATATTTAGTACACAGATGGGCCTGTTCGGTTTGGGGTCCTGTCTTGGTTTTCCCTTGTCTATTAACACCAATCTTGCCGTCTTCCATTCTATTTAAAATTCTCCTATGCTTATCATCCCATTTGCTGCTTCCAGACAGTTTTGAGGATAGCTGCGGACTATTGTCTTCACTACTTCTGCTGGGATTTCGTCTGGCCCTGGTGCTTTCTTTTCTTTCAGTCGTTCTTTTGCATTTATTAGTTCTTCTTCTGTAAAGTTTTGGTATTTATTCTGTTTCTACCAGAATATTATCTCACTCCTTTACTTGATAATCCGGAAACAGTGCCTTTGCTACTTCTATATTGTTTAACAATTTGATAGCCTTTGCTAGAGACGTCCGCGTCTACTTCGACTATAATTTTTTCCAGCCGTCTCTTCACCTATCTTATGGCTATCTTCGGTTCTTTTACTTTCAGCTTATATTGTTCTCTAAGGATTATCTTCTGATTTTTACTGTTTACTATGTTTGCCCTTCTATTTTGCATACATTTCATTCTTTTCTTAGCTACTTTCTGAGATTTTCTCTTTTCTTGCAAAATGTTTTATCACAAGCTGTGTCCATTGCGATGGTTACCTCTCTAGCTGTTGTTACTGCCCTCTCACTGTTACTGATTACTTTGTCAATTTCTTCCACTGATTTATGCATGTTTTCTTTCTTGATTTGCCAGCCTCTCTTACTAATGCTTCTCCAGTCGTGTTGCTGCCCCTTTCCGTTCATTTGACTGTAAGGGGTGATATTTTATATCGACTAGCTTAGTTTTGTTATTGTTTTCCTGAGATTGGGTCGTGGAAATGAATAACAGGAAAAATTATTTAACGGTATTTTCTTTAACGTTTACTTAAATAACTTGATTTACTTTAGCTACAGGAACAATTATGAAATTAACTGATTCAAGAGTGGATAAGTAGATTTTATAATGGCTACAAAAATATCCAAGGGGATGGTATACTATTTTTTACTCTTTACACGCTTAGGGCAAGAGTGAAGATTGTCAACAAACCCAAGTAGTAATACTTATTTACATAAAAGGGGTGAGTTTGGTTAATTAAAATTATATCACTAATATTTATGCAGTATACACGATTTAAGTTAAACTAACATAGGTATCTTGTAACTAGTTTATACAGGGTGTCCCGGCTAAAACTTGTCACCCCCCCTAATCTCCGAACTCGTGAAAAAAATTGAAAATCGCTCAGACCCGTCGATTTTTATTTCAAGGGGGAACACTTTCACCAAATACATCATCATTGTGTTGTCATCTCCCTCATCCC